TAACTTTTTAGAATTCTCACGGTTCATTGAATGCGACGCGATGTTGACATTTTGGTTGTATCATGAAATTTTCAGTTAGAAATTCCCGACAGTTTTCTAGTAAAAGTATAAAATTTGATGGTAGAAATCATGATGAAGTGAAGTTACGTTCTTTCATCCGTGGAACGGCGAACTGCGATGTAAATATTGCTTTTCAGACTTCAATTTTCACAAATTTATCACCTTCTCTTCTGATATTAATTCTTTAGTTAAATTATATTATTCAACATACTCTATTTTCCCGCGAAATTTTACACCTTAATGGGTCATTTGCGCTAGTCTCAGAATCGTGTGTTGATGTTTTATTCTTGTAAATTATAGCTAAAAATAATAAGATCCGTCCAAACAGCAACTTTCTACGTTGGACATTAACCGTGATGTTGAGCCTTGAAAAACTTAATTTTCATCCACCTTCCATGTTATGCACAACCGCGGTGGATCGTCGTCAAAAACCCGGCTTTTCAAAGGGCGATATCCAGGTTAATATTAAACGTAGAAAATTGCCGTTCGGACAGATTTTATTATTCCTGGCTAATCTGCAAGAATCAAGCATCAAAACTAGATTCCGTTACCAGCGCAACTGGCACATTAGTAAAATGAAAGCACATGTTTTAGAGGCTCAACCCAAATGGACCACTAGACAAGGTACGAATTAAGCATTCTGATACATGTTTCCTAGTCAGAATTTCACGTAGAGAACGATTCGCACGACGAAAATTACTTAAACCAACTCTTAACGAAGATATTAACGTTTTTATTTCACATTGGTTACGAGGAATTTGAACTGCCCGCTCGCAAGAAACTCAAAGCTCTACGTGAGTCAATTCGCGCAGTACAACGGTTTCAGCAAGCTTCTCAGTCAAGCAATGTCCATGTTCCACCATATGTTGTTCAAACTATAAGCAATTTGCTACAGCTGAGCTGAAGCGTCAAGATTGAGGTTGCCAGATTTGTATATCGTAGAGACTGTCACGATAACGTTCAGCGCGCGATGTGAATCACGCAGAGCATTGAGTTTTCATGAGCGGGTGGTTTGAATTCACGCATCAAGAATCATCAAATATCTTCGTAGGGAGTTAATTTCGGTAATTTTCGTTGTGTGAATCGTGTTTTACGTGAAATTTTGGTGCAGAGACGTGTATCAGAATGCTGAAATTCGTACCTTATCTAGTGGTCCATTCGGTCTCCATTCGAATGGAGATGACATGCATGTGTCAGGGATTTGCGATTTGACCGTTGATTCTTATGTAAAAGTTGGAGAGAAACACGATGGTGCCACTGGTTTTCTCTGAAATCAACTCCCAAGCTCAAAAAAGCTTCCAAGTTGAGGCCGAAATGGAGGGGATATCCGACGCTATCCTGAGAGTCCACACATCAAGACAAACTCCCCATTCAAAGATAAGGAGCAAATACATTGACACGGCTGCCACTTTATTTGGGGACTCCAAAACTGAAAACACGGTAACCCTGCTAATGTATTTGTTCCCTATCTTTGCATGGAGAGTTTGTCTTGATGTAGAGGTGGACTCTCAGAGTAGCGTGGGATATCCCCTCCATTTCGGCCTCAACTTGGAAGCTTTTTTGAGCTTGGGAGATGATTTCAGAGAAAACCAGTGGCACCATCGTGTTTCTCGCGAACTTTTGCATACGAATCACCAGTCAAATCGCAAATCCCGCACACATGCAACATCTCCATTTTCATTTTCCTCGAGTGGAACACGACAAATCCAACCGTGAAGAATGGAGATTCCGGCCATGAGCCTCGCTTGGCGCGGCACGGGCGAATTCAATACGTAGTCGGCGACCGTGACCGTGGCTCGTGTTTGGCTGACCATCGCCGCAGCCGCCAGGCGGCCCCCTCATTGGTCCAATCCCAACGTAATTGCGCGTCCGTCGCGTCGCGGGCGAGAGTACAATGCGCGGCCCGCGTCGCGCCACGCTCCCCCCTCCCCTCCCCCGCCACGCCTGGGGGGACTCCCCATCCCTGGCCCCTCCGGTTACCAATCAGCAATCAGCGCACTCAACCCCCCTCCAACAGGAAACCTCGGGCTCGGGGTCGGTTGAAATTTATGTTGGATTTTATCCCCCACCCCACCCTCCGCCACGTTGAGACTTTGACACACCTGCGTTGTATACTGCCGTGCTGAGGAAGAACGCCGTATGAACCCTCAGGTGTTGCCGAATTTCCTTCGATGAAATACTAATTGACTGGTAAAGTTCTGAATATTTTTCTTCTCATTTTTCAGACATCATTGTTCGCACTTCGATCTAAAATATCTGACGATATCAAGGAAGAATATGCATAAATTCCATCAAAATTTACATTTTATCAGAGGAAATTTTGCCATGCTCGAATGTTCTTACGGCGTTTTTCCTCAGCACGGCAGTGTAACTCTAGAAACGACTTTCATGTGTATCGTTACGACTAGTCGCTCAATCTTCTTCTCTTTTCCCTCCCTCGACGCTCCATCGGCAAAAAGACGTATGTACACCGCGAGGAGAGCTGTTAATTAGTATATATCCCCGTGCTTTCCACGGTTGATACGCGAATAGAGCTGCGTCCTTCTTCCAAACGGAGCGATGCCTTGTTCTTGGCTTTTCTTGCAGCGGCAAAATCGGGAGGTATACACTACCCTCCATTCCGTCCCCGTATTTAGTTCGATTAATTTAAACGTCGAGTCTTCCGGTCTTCGAGACATCAGTGTGTCCATTTCCCCCTCGTCTTTTCAAGGTTCCTTTTAATGGGGAGAAAATCGGTTTGCCCATACCGTGAGAAGTTTTGAAATCCGCTGCTGTAGTTGCTTTTTTTTTTTTTTTTTTTTTTTGAGGAATTAGGACAAAGAGCAGTGTGTGGTAAAAGGAAACCGACTGTTTCGGCGAATAATTCTAGCACGCGGTAGGAAACATTAATGGCGGCTAGCGGAGTTTTTGATACATTCTCATTAAAAAATTGAAATTATCAAATGTGAAATCCGCGAAGATACACTGATGTATAGTCATACTAAAAAAATTGATAGGGGTTCGCCCCTGAAATTTTGATTCCACCCCGAATTTTTGGATAATATAGACATTTCAAATATATTTTGGTATCACAGCAACTCAAGTTGGGTTATCACTGCAACATTTGGGTTAATGACCTAATTTATTTAGGTACTACTCACCACAATTAATTGGGAATGTCTTTTTTTCGCGGTGTTTTGCTTTTATTTAAAATAATAAACAAAAATATATAAACCGCGCCCTTAATTAAATGTCTTCATTCACTGATCAAATATAAAATTAATAATATTGGGTTTGTCTCGACCGCTTCCTTTCTGTACATCAGATATAAGTTTGAAAGTTATGTTACACAAACTGGTTGGTTCTACGGACCCAGTGGTAGCCTGCCTACGTAGAACGACGTGCCACTATTCATATTAATCTACTTTTTAGCATAAAATTTGATCGAGGCGTAGATTTTTTTGTTAAACCGCTATGATAACTCAGCACTTCAAATTCTTGCTCAGTGGTAGAGTATGTTAATTTTATCAATTAAATCAAATTAACACGTGGACACATCAAACTGCAGCTCTGATGCGTCTGAGGATGAACACATGGAGACGCAAACATCAATTTCGTGTGAAGACAACTCAAAGTGATCTCTTAATTCTATTCAAATTTTACGATCTTTTAATGTTAAAAAATTGCCGGTTCAAATTAAAGTGGGGAAAAAACCTCAAACATATTGAATTTGAGTCTTCAAAAGTGTTAAAAACTTGGCTATATAAATGAATTTTTTATCCAGCACGCTCCATCAGAAGATCATGTGTTTAATCGCTAAACGTAACAAGTATACGCGCATTTTTTAATTACAGCAGCCAATGTTAAGAGTACTAAAATTGTTTGTATTTTGACCGATCCACTATAAACATTGAAGAAAATTGATAATTTATTTTCACTCTGAATCTCATTTTTAAAAAAAGGCATATTTTTTAGTTCGGTCAGAGTATTCTACGCATGTATGCCACAAAAAGAACAATATGAATATCTAAAGTCGAAAAATGAGTATCCAATTGAGGAGTTACAATTGTCTTCGCTCATGTTAAAAAAAACTGATCGCTGTTCATCGCTATTTCAAAAAATTCTTCTTGAAATTTTCTGAAGATTCACTACACTCCTTTAAAATTCAAGCTGACATTTTCAAAAATTGATGACAAAAACACAAAACCACGGATCTCCGTTTGCGACCTTGCACACATCCTGTCATATATTTCTCTTTTTCTCTGAAAATCTATAGTCAAGGAAATTTTTTAAAAACTCATCCGATTTTTTTTCTCTATTAGCAGATTATTGTGTGTAATCAAGCTACAGAGTCGACTTGTTTCTGTTCGAAAAAATAAAACAGGAGCAAAACTTTTGAAACGCCGCATACGTGGTTTCGCACTTTGGCCATCAAAATATTTCATTGTCACTCTTCTCTAATGAAATAAAACAAACTCGAAGATCGTGAAACGTTGCAATGGAGATGAGCATTTTCTTACTTGAGCCATCACAATTCTAGTAGAACACAAAAACAAGTCGACAATTCAATTTTGTGTTCCCGAAAATTTTGTAATCATCGTTCTTTTACCTCTTTATGTTTACGAGTTATTCACTACTCTTTTAGGTAGGTGGAAAGCTATGTAAGCACGCATAGCCTGTTAAGGAGTCATGTGTAAGTACCATCTCCAGGGGGAAAAAGCCGTTAGCAAAAATGTGCTTTATTTCTGTTCGCAGAAGCCAACGAAAGGGAAACTCGAATGCGTGAGGTAAGCGCAGGTTTTATGCGATGAAGAATCTGACGGGAGGAGCCCGTGATTGGTTCGGATGAATCCAGCGGGAACCAATCAGAACCGCGGAGCGTTACCTGCTTGAATACTCGTCTCCCATGGGCGGAGGAGCCGCTCTCTCACCTGGAATACCACCGGCAGTAAGGGGTTGGACAGCCCACGAATCGGTCGCTTTGGATCTGTGAGTCTTTCGACGTTCGTTTCTCGAAAATTATTACGGAGCCCGGCTCGTTTTTATGTGCTGAAGAGTAACTCCTTTTTTAACGGAATTGTTCTCACAAAGTTGGTTTTGTGGTTCCTGGCTGTGATTTTTAGTCATTTATTTGCCGTGGATCGTTGTGTGATCGTAAGAATTTTTTAAAAGTTTTTCTGAAGTTAAGTTCCTCGTCGCTTGTGCAGTGGGTTTTGGAAAAAATACTCTCCGATTTGTGGCGTGAACGATGACCCTTTCAATATGACTTCGATATTAAATTTTTAAAGTTTAAAGGTATGTAAATTGGTTTCAAAACTAATAGCATGAAGCTTGTTAGACTGGTGCAAAAATTCCTCACTCAATCTTTCTTTCAAGCACATATTCAATTTTACACGAAAACTGCTCACTTAGGGAAATAAAAAGAAGAAGAAAAATGGTTGATTTTGTTATAGTAATATAGAAATAATAATCAACGATAGACTCTAAGGCTATACCTTAATCCTGCTTGGATAAAAAAAAAAAGAATTTTAACGGTTACTAGATTCTTAGTTTCTATAATCCTAATGAAATCTAGTAATCGGTACTTGATTTCTGTCAGTGTCAAACATGTATCTGATTGCATGTCCTGGGTACGTTATAAGGTACACCAGAGATCTAAAACTTTCTACCAGATTCTCTGGGGATTGCATAGTATATAATTCTCAGAAAATTTAGTTATCTATTTAGTAATTACTGATACCTTTTTTTTTCACGTGGCAGCACTACCACCAGTATGGTAAATACTACCAGAAGTCTATGTGTCATAAATCAAGCAGACTTATTGTAGAATCTACCGTGCCTTTGGTAAAAATCAATATGTTTTCTTGGTTATTGCTCGCACTTTTTTTACAACTTTTCATGAGCTTTTTCATCGCGCACCTCAATGAGATGAACAATTCAATGTCAAAATGTATACGCAGCTTAATCAGAATGTTTAGAGCTCTTCTTATCAGAACAAAGATATGTTGATAAAAGTTTATGATGATGGAGTGCCCTGTTCTTAAGTAATAAGTATTCCTCTTTTTTAGTCCAATTTGCAGGAGGTTACATTCCTGGTGCTATCAAAATCTGTAAATTGAAATCCTTAGCTGGGAAAACGAATTGGATTAAATTTAGCAAAACGAAGACGACTTAATTTTTAATGGTTTGGTTAATTATGATGGCAAATTCATGCAAGGTCTTGTCGTAACCTTGCATTGTTTTGCCGCTTATAACTTTTTTTGTAGCTGTTATATTTGAATCTAAAAATGTTGCGGGTCCCTTCATATGAGATTAGGCATCATGGAAACTGAAGAGTAGAAGCTTTGGGAATAAAAGCTTTTTTCTGTATAAACTATGGTATCACTATAGTGCACAACATTTATCAGTAGATACAGTAATCACCAACTTTCTGTCTAAAAGCTTTTTAATGAAATGACAATGTAGAGTAATTCTACCCTCTAAAGAGAAAAATGCCGGGAGGTAAATCATTCATTAAGCTCATAAAAATGTAATTTATTTCAAAGGGTATCGTTCATTTGCTTGCTTTTTCGTAAGACAAAAAAACCGTGAAATTTTTTATAGAATATACAACTGTAGTTTTATCTAAGGATTGGGCATTTTTCCTCAGTGGATGTTTTCTTAATGGTCTGTTAAATTATCTCTTGGTTTGGATTCTGATTATTCCCGGACTGTTTTGATAGGATTCCTGCCTAATGAATGCGATCAAATTATGTGAGGGTTCAAGAATTATGTGAGAAGTGAATCTCAAACCATGAAAAGTTTTTGACAATTTTTCTTCTTTCTTTTCTTTTCTCACTAAAGACTCTTGTTCGATCACCTGGCGTTACGTATTAGCCTAAAAAATCTCCATTATTATGTATTATGGAAAATTTTCTCTCTATTATTGCCTTTCTATCGAAATCGGTTGAGTTATTCTCGACAATCCATTGGAAATAAAATTATTTCTACAATATCTTATTTTCTTTTTTTATTTTCTTATTATTTTCTTTACTTTATTTTTTTAAATAATTTCTTTTTTTACGATTTATGTTTTTTTGATTACACTTTTTCTTAGTTTTGGAGGCAATAAAGGATAGTTCCGAAACAAAATTTCTCTGGTAAAATGCTAGAATTGTTTGATTTAGGCTCGTGCCTGCTTTATTTTCGTGTATTTTTATTTCATAATTATTACAGCAAATGATTGTATTCAGTCCAACTGAATCTCGTAACGTTTAAAGTTAAAACAGTGTATATAAATGTCAGGTGTCCGGAGGAGCTTTAAACTAAAAGTTAAGGTTGAGATAGTGAGATGTGGTAGGTACGTGAAAAAGTGGGGAAAAATAAAAAAATCTTCATAAGCGCATGCACTAATGAAAAGGAAAAGAAAATGATTATGGGAAGACATTTATTCAATATTTAAATCCGTAAAAAATGGAAAAAAACAGCTGATCCATTTCTTCAAATAGACTTACGACCAAACTTTAATGAATTTAAAGCCTCTCAAACCTATTTTTATAGTAGAATAAAATTCACATATCTTGTGCTAAAATTGCCAGGAACAGTCTTACCAATATAACATTAGAATTCAACAAATTTTAGTGAATATTCTAGGATCCAATGCTCAAATCCAAAATTGTATCAATGTTTTTTTATTTCTTTTAATTTGGAATCTTCTCATATATGTCAGAAATATTTGAAAGGCAAAGCTGTTAAATCTGTTATGGTGAAATAATAGTTGTGAGAATATTTATCTTCGCTATTCACCATTCTCATGAGACGAGCCGCGCACATTAAAATGCAAAAAAAATGAATAAAGTTGAAGAAATTATCGTATCCTCACTGAAAACAATCAAAAAGCATACTCAGCATCCTTATATGTTCTTGCTGTATGCTGTACTAATGTACCAAAATGTTAAATACAACTATTCCAACGCCTAAGTCGGCCAAATTGCCTAACCTCTGAAACGAAGGAGAACTTGGTATCTTGCAAGTAATTACTCTTGTTGAGTCTTAGACTTGTTTAAACCGCCCATTTGGAAAAAAAAAAAAAAAATCGGGGCTTTATTATGTTTGAGTTACAAATTGTGCTTCACTGCGTCCATTGACTAAATACAACCATGATACATATTTACTCTTCTTTTTTATTATCCATGTTGTAGTTTGCTTTTAAATGTTAGCACATGACTTGAGCTAGGAGCAATTTTTTATCAGGGACAGAGCTCAAAATTTTTCGGGGAAGGGAACTAAAATTGCAGGCCCCTCCTGATACAGAGGAGAGAGGTTCAAAAGAGGCTCCTGAGCGGTCCTGCAAGATTTCTTAAAAAATGCCGAACTGTGTGACCCTAAATTCTTCCAAAAGAGGCTCTGCAGGGCCCATCTAGTTTATGGGGCGATTTCTTTCTAGCCTTTCGGGCCTATTCGCTCCTATTTTTATTTTATTGTCACATAGTATTGACTTAAAAACTCAAAGTTTAAGTGGGAATAACTTTTACCGATGAATTTTTCATAATCAATTCGTCGTTTTTCGGACGAGGGAACGTAATTCCATTCCTAGGTTGTAAAATTGACTCAAACAATTCGATTTTTTACAAGATTACACCTGTTCGATTTTTCCCAAAATTGTTCTTATTTTTGCTCAAGGTCGGATAAAAATCATTGAAATTTTCAGTCAGAAATGCTCAAAACTCTTCAGCTAAAATTTCGATTTGCGAGTGGCAATTTGGCAACATTAAAATTTAGCTACGTTCTTTCGTGGGGAAAACGCCGAATTATATATCTAACGCCGGCAGTGAGCTTGGAGCTCCGAAATTGGCGCGACAATGGACGAATTAAAAGGCTTTTTGTTATTTTTCACGTTCTTTTTGATGTTCCTGAAAGCGACGAAGTGACGCTTTCATTTTTTTTACGTTAAATTGAGTCATTCTTCAAACCCGCCGCTTTCGAATTGCGACTTAATCACACTTTTCACTCGATACTCAACGCTTTTTATTTCACATAACGCATCACTCCCGCGATCTCTTTATTTCTGACAGCTTCCGCTCACAGTTCACAGAGGTAACGCATTTCTGCAAAAAAGTCAAAGGGGGGGGGGGGGTATGGAAAAAGTAAGATTACCGAGAATGTATATGCATGCGCATTTGCACCTGAGTAGAAAGTTTCCATTGACGTTTTTTTATTTAGAAAAGAGCTGAGGCTCGTGCCGAAAATAGCGCATCCATGAGAGAGAGATATAGGGACGGAGAGTAAGAGGATAGGGATGCTTAAAGTTTAGACAAATCATCGAGAAGTGGAGACTTTTCTGACTTTCCTTTAAATGACATGTGAGTATCACGTGAAGTTCTGCTCATGTATGTCAGACTAAAATCCGGAAATTTAAAGAGCTTCCCTCGTCACACAGGTCTAAAATCTCACTAAAATCTGCGTCACACTAACCAAAAACTCTTCCAATCGCCGTTGAAAATGCTAACATTTTACATTATATATTTACTGTAACTATATTTCAAATTTTCGAAAAATGTACATGAATGTCGGATCCGTTACGGAGGGGTCTAATTTTCTTTTTCATTCAAATACTATCATAACGTAGTGTATGCATGATCCCGATTTCTGAGCATATATTCATAAAAATAAAAAATAAAATAAATGAAGGAATGAATATATAACCGTAGAGGAGGGAGGGCCTTGCTCAGCGTTACACGTTTTGTGAATGGACTCTATAAGTTAACGTTAAAGGTAGGTTGTAAAAGGGGCTCAAATAGCCGAAAAAGTGCGTTATAACATGCTTAAAAGTGATCGTATGTGTTAATTGTTCAGCCAATTTTAAAAGTACAGAGTTGCACCTTGATCTTATATCTTGGTCCGCAACTTGAGTTTTAGGGACCGCTGCAGAGGGTTGGAGAGACTATTTTCCCCTGTTCGATTCCTCTCTATGTCATTCGAACGATCACATTATGAATCACCGCGGATGATGAACTTTCATGCATAACTAGTGTTTTAGTGACCGAGCGATTTGATATGCACATTATTGAGATTGCCTTTGATTAAAATCTCAAATATCGGAGAAAAAAAGTGTGTTGTAAGAATGACCCCATCCATAACTGAGATTTTGTATCCGTTTGTTATACTTTTGAGTTTCTGGTAAATTTATAAGCATAAAAGCTGTCTCTTCCAGAGATCTAACTTTTTAAGAAGCGAGCAGGAATTGTCAATGGATGAGAATGATACTATATAAGAGGAATTTCCTCTCTAGGAAATGAGTTGAACATGTTCCCTTGACACCCCGTTTCTCTGATTTGAGATTAAAATATCGTAATATTAACAATTTCGAACTTTCATTTATTTAAAATGCTGTTTCTGAGCCTCCGGGAAATTGGACAAGCTAAAATTTGATGTGATGAGTCAAAATGTCACAAAAAAGCAGTTTTTGGCATAACATGGCGTATAGTTACCTTCTGCGATAGATTTATCCCCTTAAAACCGTAATTCACGGTAGACGCACGGTTACTAACGGTGCCTGAGGATTACAATAGAGAAATCAGTTTTTCAAGATGTATCGTAATTTGCTGAAGAAAAATGAAGAAGAAATAATTCAATCTGCAAGAAATCAATTAATTATAGTCACACTGCTTAGTTCTTTTCCTCCGAGGTCAAGTGCGAAACATCAGAAGAATTTTCCACCCAACCAATGCAGAAAGAAAAGAGCTTTTTGCTCATAAAGATTTTTGGTTGTATCTTCAATTAAGTATAGTGTTAGCAGAATAAAATTCAACCATTAATGCAAAAACAGTTAACGCGAATGTGATTGCCAAATGATGTTATGATGTGTATGCAGGGAACATTTTAGTGAAATCAAATAAAAACAATTCAATTCGAAGGGCTTTTCCAAACTGCTTCAAATGTGTAACTTCACAAATTACATTTTAGATCTGCGGATTGTTTTTCTTTTCTTTTTAAAAACAAAGTGTGTGTGTGTATATATATATATATATATATATTATTTGTTTATCACATGGAAAGATATTCGAAGCAAATGAAGTCTTTGAATTATTTTTTCGAAAGGATATTCAATGTTTATCTATGGCGATAACTGTAGTTTGGTTGATGTTTTTTCCTATAATATTTCAATTTCTCACAGCACAGTTGCGCAAAAATATAAGTGAAAGGCTTCTAAAAAGGGCGCTGAGTAACCTATATCGTCAGCTTCCAGTCAAAGTATCACAAGCGCCATGCGCCATTTTCGCCACCGTTTTATTTTTTTGCAAAAAAAATGTGTGAGTTGAATCTGTTGGAAAATTTCACTGACTTCTTTGTGTAGCCGATAAACAGTGAAATTTTCCAACAGATTCAACCAACAATTTCTCCGTAAAAAAAATGAAATGGTGGCAGAGTTTTTGAAACGTTGCATGGCGCTTGTGATACTGTGGCCGAAAGGTGACAAATACCCTATCTTTACAAGACCTTCTCCTCTTTCTTTTTTTTTTTTTGCGCTTTATTAATAAATTTTGCTTTTTTTTGTTCCAGCGTTATGCCGCGATCATTTCTCATCAAAGCTCTGCACACAGATTCGCCCCCTCTGTCTCCGTCTACCTCACCTACGATGACCGTCACCCCCTCCCCACCACCGCCGGCCCCTGCATGGTCCAATTGGGTCTGCAGGCAGAGCGCCTTCTCATTAGTCAATCTAGGTGCCATGGAAAACAGGCCTTCACCTCAAGGTAAGAGATCACTCCTTCAAAGCTCCAAATATGAATAAGCTGCACCCCGGACGAGACTTAGAGGAAAGGCCCCCTTCAAGAAAACTAGTTGCCCCTAGCCCCCTCCAAAAAATGCACACTGGAAAAAAAAACTCCAGCCGTGGAAGCCAAACTTACGGGCTTTATAGACATACCGTCCGCATCGAGCTTAGAGGCCGAAAGTTTCGGGTGTAGCACCCGGAGTAGTTGAAGCTACAGCTCCAGCACCCGAAACTTTCGGCCTCTGAGTCCGGAACGGACGGTATGTCTATACAGCCCGTAACTTCTTTTCGGTGTAAAGGATTTAGCAGAATTAATGAGGCGTTGGGTTCGGAAAGGACATTTCTTGGTTCTGGTGTTCCAGAATCTCCACTGCGAATTTATATTTTTGAGGGGAAACTATTATGTGAATGTTCTGAAATTTTCGATTATCAGCACTAGAAAATTATGAAGAAAATTCGGTAAAAGTCTCAACGAATCTCATGCATTTACTTTAATCATAGTAAATGAAACGTTAACGATGATTCTGAAACACCGTGACCGGAAATGCCTTTTCTGTACCCAGCGCTTCAAATTTATGGCCATTATTTCTTCTTTGAAAAGACATTTTGAAAGAAAATTCGTTAATTCATGGCCTTCGGCTGCAAGCAACTAAAGCTGCTCCTACGTTGCACGAATTGCTTACTCCGGTGATCGAAGGCAAAATGGTTAGAATAAGCGCGCCACACTGTAAAGTGGAGTAACATTAGTTTGCTCAGTCAATATCTAAAACGAATGGCATGCTTTGAGTAAATCAGCCTTACACAGTGTATCAGTGTCACTATGTTAGTGTTAGATCATGTTCATTTGTTTAATTCATAGACTTAGCGAACTAATGTTACTCTACGTCTACTCCGCACTGTTTCGCACTTATCCTGACCAGATGAAAATTGTCTCTATACGTTGACGAAATATTACAGGGTGGCTCTTTAGACCTTCCTAGATGGGGCGCGACTCTGTGGCCCCCAGAAACTCTTTGAAAAAGGACCCTTCTGCAATTTTAACGAATGAAATTTCGAAATTTTCAAAGATATCTGCGAAATTGAAACCCTCTACTAACCTCTCAGCGACAGGTGAAAACTTTTACTTTCGAAGATTCAAAATATTCTTATGGATAATTGTACTCATTAAAGGACGTCCATCAGGAGGTAAATGGGACATCAGGAGAATGATAAGCTTCAGATGACGTGGTGGGCCACATAAGTTTATCAACTTAGATTTTTTTGCAGAGTAAAATGCTCAACACGTTGTTAAACATCCACCTAGTAGGTAGGTCGACGGTTGAATTTTGTATTATTGGAGATAGTAGTCCCTACTAATGTCAATATACCAATGGAGGGTTTCTATTTGTCTATGGATGTAATAGAATTTTATTTAAAATCTGACAATCTTGAACACTGCAATGAATCTATTCCGTTAGATATTAATTAATTTAACGGATTTGTTTTCTCCTGATTTGATTAAAAAGCAAACTCAAATGCTTCAAACTGATAGGAACCGACATTGAATACGACTGATTCGCATTGAGAAAAATCTTTCGTTTATAAACCATACTGTGGTTCATTTAGAACACAATTAATAAAGGTGAATGACCTAGTGGTTTTCGGTTTTTGAACCATGTAACGATAAATACTTTACAAAAATGATTACCGGCAACAACGGAAAAAGGGCCTAAAACACGGTAACTTTTAAAAAAATACGTAATATGAACTATACGGAAAAATAATGCGTTTTGGAGTGGCTCTTTGACATTTTAATGTGATCGACGTGATTGTCGAGAGATCTCACCCACAAAAAGCAGTCTACTTAGTTGGTTGTACCTCTTCTGCGAGTCAGAGGCATTCCATTATGGCCCGGAGTTTTTATTACCGCTAGAGTAATCGGCTCCATGTTTTTACATCCTATAATATTCAGTCACGTCCTGCCTTTTTCAAGTACTTGGAAGTTACCAAAATCGCGTGACTGAACATGCCGGTGCGACGTAGCTCCCATATCCAAGCAAAGGAGGAGTGAATAAAAACGTTTCTCAAAGCGATTAACCCTCCCTCCCCCTAAAAAAAAAGGTAAGGGGAACGATTTTAATCACGTATTATTAAATTTCAAAAATAGTTTCTCCATACTAACATTCGCGACATTTCTTCTGCGACGCCCAACTGTAATAGTCACCTATCCTCCCGAAGCCACTTAGGGAGTTTACACGCCTTTTTTTGAAGAAAAACCCTCTGTCGTCCCCTTCACCCACCCCTTTCGGGATGAACTCAATCAGAAATTTTATTTTGCAACCTTTCTTCCGTCAAAATGCGACTCCAAAATCCCGAAATCCACATCAAGCCAACCCTTTCATGCAGCAGAGATTCCTGATCCAAACAACTCCCTAACCTGCAGAAGAATTTAACATAAAAAAAGGATGTTGCCAAAGACTTTTTCTAAAATATACTTTCAAGCTCAATAAAAACTCTCAAAGTTTAGCAGCACTGCACAACAGAAAATTACGTATCAAATTCAGTCAAACGTTTCATCCATGAGATGAATCCATGTCCACAGATGAATAAAAAATTTAAGGAAATTTGCGTATTGCCACGAAGGAAATTCCCTGGAATTCTGGAAAAGATCGGTATGGCCCCTTTTTTTGTAAACGAAAAAATTATCAGTCTCATATTTCGTAGCAAATGATGCCGCTTGGTTCCATTTTAAAGAACGCATGTCCACCTGAAACCTCGTTTTACATGACTTCGCCTTCATCTGGATGAATAGGCATCTCGCGCGACATACGCGTCGAAATAGTCGCATCTTGATCAATGTTCCTCACATTTTAACGCTGTTGCGCTAGGCAAGGATCGCATACTGCCTGCGACAAAATCTTCGTATGACAGTATGCAACTTTTGCCTAGCGCGTGAAAAGAAGAGTCATACGAACAAAAACACATAATGCTAAATAGGATCCATAAAAAGTCCATGCAACAGCACAAACTCGTTTCCCTTCGGATAGAATGAAACAGGGGCGGATATTTTGAAGCACCGCATTCGAGATCCGTGGTTTTAGCCACCATCATGAAGTGTATAGTCTGATTTTACATTAAATTTAACAGAATATTCTCACTTGTTATAATTCCTCCAGGTTTTTGAGACATTAACAAAAGCAAATATGTTCGTTCCTCTAAAAAAAATCCGTTTTTTCATTTTGGCAAAATATGCCCCTGCACCGTTGTGCTAAGGATAAACGCCGTATGAACATTCGAGAGTTGCCAAATTCCCTTCACTGAAATGTTTATTTCTGAGGAAAAATTACATTTGATGAAATGGAAATTTACGAACATTTTTCCCTGATATTTTCAGGGTGAAATTGCGAACAAAATTATCTGAAAAATTGGAAGAAAAATATTCATAAGTTTGCCGGGCAAATCGTGTTTCATCAAAGGAAATTTGGAATCGCCTGAATGTTCATACGATGTTTTTCCTCAGCACGGCAGTGCAGTTCACGGTACAAGCACGGAAACCGCACGAAACAGGATTAGATGGAGCCAATGAGCTCAAAGATTCGGCACTAATTTTCCTCCTAGCGACCCGCTGTTGATTTTAGTAGCTAACGAGCAGCGCAGATGCAACCCGGCGACAGAGTTGCAGATTCCATTCAGTCACCATTGTTTCAACCTCACGTGAAATGCTATGAAATCATATGGCAATGACGCAAAGCGGATAACAAGCCGACCCCTGAGCCAAATTCATTTAGCATGTTTCACAGTCCTTATTAGTTTTTATTTCACCCTCGGTTGAATGACCATTTTCCGGTGAGATTTGGCAACGGACGAGGATCTCTAATTCGGTCCATTCACACCGCCAAAATTAACAAAAAACTGATCTGGATTTTGCGGGTTCCTCGCAAACACTAGAAAGTGTGTCATTGCGAGATTTTGAATTGTTGACCCAAGTGCTTGTCACGGGTGGGTTCCGTCACTCTCAAAATTGAGGGTCTCTAACATGCAGCCAGAAAAATATAATATTATTTTCGCTTCTCACGAATATTGGTGGTAAAGGAGATTGTACCTCTGCCCCGATTCGCAAACTTAGGTAAACATACAGAGCCAGCCTGCCAGCGTTACGTATTTTATAAAGATTAAGTTGCGGAAAATACAGTCACAGAGGGTAGAAAAAAAAATTGTGGTTAATTCATCCTCACATAATTCATAAAATCCTCGAAGAAAATACCGCGTGTACATGTCGAAGGCAAATAAATAGTCCCATATTTTGTCAAATACACAAGAGATTGGACAGATTTTGAAAATTTCCAAAGTTATTAGCTCAGTAGATCTGTAGATGGACCATCGATGGAAACTGAAAATTTTGTTAGTGCAGATGGAATGTAGCAATGATATGATGTTTGACGTAGAGAAAAATTGCAAACTAAATAAATCTCTCTGTTTGATTTTCAGAGATGACCCAACTAATGTATGGATCACCAGCATTTCCACTTCCGTACGTTTGGCCACCAACAGCGTTATTTTTACCTTACTCTCCTTTGCTTAGAAGTTCCTCTGAAGATTTATCTCCCGATAGAGCAAGCTCAAATGCGAGAGATACCCCGGAAAAAGCTAGAATAAACTCAAGTAAGTTGAAGCTTTTTTATATTCTTAAATTTTTGCAAGAAAGGAGATACTAAAAAAGTATTTGCATGCATTTTAATTTTTTTCTTACGCTACTATTAAATCATCCTTTAGCTTTTTATCATGTAGGAATTAACCATTTTACTCTTCTTAGTTCTTAATTAAAAATTCTTAGTGTCACAATAAATTGTGTAAAGATGTGAGAGCTATAGCATCTGACGGTTCATGACTAATTTTATGTGTGTAACCAATTTATATGGGGTCAAAAAGTATTTTAAAGATTGTAACAGATTATTTTGAATTGTTTTCAGTGGAAGAAGCGCCTTTAAACTTATGTACAAAACCTAGGAAATCTTTAGAAATTTGGTCACCCGGTAGTTTATGTGAAAAAGAAGAAGTCCCGCCTCCTAATTCTACGTCCTCATCACAGTCAAATGAAAGAACTTTTCAGGTGAGTTTATTAAGCTTCTTTTGTTATTTTTTTTCTCCACCGAGTAATATATGTACTTCCGCATAAGATGATTACATAAAATAACACAGACGGCGTTGTTCCTTAGCACGGCAGTCCGGGCCAGTGTTCGAAACTCGCCTTTGAATTTTAGGAGCCATGTGGCGCATCAAGCCCAATTTTTAGGCGCCATTGAAGATTTTTTAGGGGCAAAATTGACTTTTTGCCTATATATTACGGCGCATTTAGTGAAAAGTTAGACGCAAGATGTTTTCGTAACACAATTAGTAAGTAGCTGTAACTTGGGGAAGACAAAAGCACTAAGGATGAAATCTTGAAAAATAGAAAAAGCAAGCTTGCACTTGTAGTGCTGAAAATTCTGAGTTTTTTCAATTCAAATAGATTTATTTTTCTTTCCTTATGTGACTTCCTGTGAAAATTCAGCTTTTTAGGGAGCAATTTTTAGGGGCCACGTTGGCGCAGAGCCTTCATTTTTTAGGCGCCATGGCCGATTTTTTAGGCGCATTTTGCGCGTTGGCGCCTGTGAGTTCCGAACACTGGTCCGGGCCTAGAAGACGAAAGAGGCGTATGGTAAAAATAAGGACCTAGGATAGCGAGGAGCGCCCAGCACAAGAGGCATCTGATAAGGGTAGACAGTCGGACCCACGAAATCGAAAGTCCTTGAATCAGTGTGCGGGGAGAAGATGATTGTATAAAAATATAGTGCGAGAAAATCAGGCGATTGATAATGATTGAGTGTCTGCGGAGATGAGATGAGATTAGTGTGTCAGCGGGTGGCGGGGGACGAGGGGGGCAGGGGGCGCGGCGTCTGTTTCAATCGGCTCTGACTTACCCAATATGTAAAACCGAGAGGCAGTCGGCAGATGCTGAGCTGCCGAGGAAGAGGAAGAAGAAAAAAAGGAATCCGAAACATCGAAATCAGTTCCTGTCTCATCTCGAGCGCACTCACACGGACGCGTGTAAAACGAACCCACACTCGCGAGAAACACGGCACACGCGCCACCTGATCCTGCACGCGCCTGGATGATTTAAAAAAATCGGGATGGAAAGATGAGTGGTCCGGGCGGCTCCGAGAGGCAGGTAGAGGTGAAAACAACAAAACTAACAATGAGCCGATGCTGAAGGAGTTGGGAAGTCGGCGGCTGATGTAAGAGTCAGATACCAGACTCCTTTTTACGCAGGTAGGCAGGTATTTAATGAAAAGGAGCAGGTGAAGAGGCTCTTATAAATATTTGACCCACTTCCACGGGGCCAAGATTTTTACGACCGAATTTCTCGCAGGATCCTGCAGATGATCCTGATTAATCGAGAGCAAGTCTTGGCCGGACCCCTCCTCCCCCCTCGTGCCCCGTTTTTGTCTCGGTTTAATGTATAGAGAGAGGAGGAGGACGAAAGATTAGTTTCATTCGGGATTAATTGCGAAGATAGGATTGAAATCAATCTACAATCCAGCCATGATTTTTCAGATGGCACCGGAAGGTGCAAGGCCACATTGGGGAAAAAGTCGTTTGGATCTAGAGTCCAGATTCTTAATAACATTAGAAAAATACTCTTAATTCAATCCAATTTTTCCTTGATATTCGAAGAGCCGATGAGCTTCTTGACTTGGGCGGATTTCCTTTTGATTCAAGCAAAAATTCCGATTGAATCAAGATTATTTTTTCTTATCAATGTTTTTAAGAGTCTGGACTCTAAATCTAAGCGACTTTTTTTTCCTGTGCACCTTAAAGAATCCTTAACTTAACCTTAACAGTCAAATGACACATCTTCCGGGAGGCACATACATGTTTTGACTTTGATTTTCATAGTTTCAAATTCAGCATATGAATGAGCACTTCACTGGATTAAAACCTTTCTTTAGTCGTATATAGTAAATAAATCATAGGGATGGGTCAAAAAAGCATGGTGGATCATTGATGTGCTTTATCATAACAAAACGATTGAAAAATAGAGGGAAAAGTATCTTTCTGGTAAGCTCAAAGTAGCTTTGGGTTTGCAAAGCGCAGTCTTCCATCGTTCGTAATAATTAGGATAGGTTTGCCCGCTTCGATACTGATAAAATGATGACGGAAAAGAGACTTTAACGATTGAGTAGAAAAAAAGGCCTATCGGACTGCCCAGGAATAGCGGGCTTACAGTTCATATATCATGTATTATAATGATGAGGAGGGAATTAAAACATGGGTAAACAAGGTTAAAACATTAAAAACACTAAAATGCAGGGCGTTTTGGACTGTTACCTGCTCATTTTCAGCTGCAAAAAACACAGAAAAATACATGAAAAAATAAAAATTGAAAGGCGACCTGACTCTCACCGTTATCCTTCACAGCCGTCAGCCGTTATGTATTATAATACAGATCTGCAATCTATCAGCATGACCATAAGAGTGGATATGCTATGATAAAACACAATTCCAGTTTTAGGTGTTTCATTTATTTATTTGTTTGTTTGTTTGTTTGTTTGTTTGTTGTTGTTGTTCGTGCGTTCATGGATTTTCAGCATTTATAGGTATTTTGCCTAACGCTTCCTGTTATCTCATTGTTTTAGTGCAAGCAATGTGGAAAGACATTTAAACGTTCCTCAACTTTATCTACGCATCTTTTAATACACTCGGACACCAGGCCTTACCCGTGTGCATACTGTGGCAAGCGATTTCATCAAAAGTCTGACATGAAGAAACACACGTATATTCATACAGGTAATTTAATTTTAAGTAAAAAATGCGCTCATATACTCCACCAGACACCTCTTCCTATATGTTTTGATTTGTCTTCTTCTTTTACTCCGTGTCCTCCTTCTCCTCCTTCGTGGCCCTCTTCTTCTTCTTCTTCTTCTTCTTCTTCTTTTTCTTATTTCTCTTCTATTCTCACGAGAGTCACAATGGGCGTACATTATACGTATTGAAAGAAAATATCTTACATTCATAAATCCCAGAGATTGAAGAAATCACAAAAATATAAATTATTCGTTTAATTTGAATAAAGTGATTTCGAGCCCCTCCCCTCCCTTCCTATCATCAGTATGAAGAGTCAAACTTTCCAGATATTTGACGACCCGAAAGTTAAATTCGGAAAGTCTCATCAGAAAAAAATCACCGTAAAAATGACACACGAGTAAAAAAAAAAAAATTTTTTTTTAATGGTGCAAAGATCAGGAAAAATACTTCAAAATGGATTTGCAGCGTTGAATACGAAAGTGCCATCTGTTTTTTCCCCATAGCGTAAGTATTTTTCGGAAAATCAAGATTTTTTCGCAAAATCGTATTTTCCCGGAAAATCCCGAATTTCTGGGAAAATTTTGATTTTCCGGAAATTACTTACGTACTTTTGGCAAATATGGATGACATTTCCGGATTCATCGCAAAAAATCACGTTTTATTTTTCCAGATTTCTGCCTTGTTTCGGCCTTGATTTCTGGTATTATATACCATGAATTTAAACCAAAAATAACCGTCTCAAAAAAAAGGAAGACCGAAACATTGCGAAATTCTGTTATTCACAAAAAGAATTTCTAGACGGATCAATATGCTTCGTTAGAATGTATAGTGATGAAATTTTTTCTTGCATTATTATGCATAAATGTAAGCTCTATTTCAACTTGGGACTGGATTCAATGTTTAACTCTCCCTCTCTTTCTGTGCCATCTATGCGCATTACTGCGCATGTTTTGTCTTTTTCAAAGATATTTTCAGTATTTTTTCAAATTGTTAAAGGGAACGGGTAGGCACAAAATTAATTATCAGTTTAGGACGCCAGAGAAACGTAGATCAGCCCTGCTAAAGCAGAAGGCAAACAACTCTCTACAAAAAATTTCAAATGATAAAAGTTCTTTTTAAGTTGAGTTTTTAAATCGTGCATGGATTATTTTCATACGGCTTTGCCTCGTGAGTTCCACCGGTAGTCGCTCTATTTTCCACTTCCCCGCACATTTGCGTGATGCTCTCTTGAAGTGCCGGTCGCAAAAAAGCGTCTTTCATTTATTCGTCACGGCCAGATTTTAAAACCGCAAAAACCCTCTGTGCGTGTGTCGAATCTCGAATGACGGATGAGATTTTTTCCGGATATTTTTCACGTTTTTTCCACGGAGTGTGTCACAATTGCGCACGGCTCCAGGTAGCACTCCGGAGCAGAGTTGCTTGTTTGCAGTTAAAAAGGTTTGACATCCTCGTGCTCTGTGGTTTTTTCATTAGCGTTGCCCTAATGTAAAGTTCATTTTCGACAATTTTAATTGATTCGCCCGAATTTATTAAACTAAACTCTTTGCAATATCGACTTTTTTGCTAATACTCCACAGCCCACTTTACTCCTTGTTTCCCCCGTGAGAATTTCAAATCCATTCGACCCGCGGATTGGAATAAGTGCAGCCTTTTTTTTATTTTCAACATTAACATCTGCTCACTTTTTCCTTCTTTTTTTTATTTGGGGGCACTGAGAACGGAAAACTCACCACAAAGGATGAACGCACCCCTCATGGAATGCACGCAACGGAAAGTTCGGAAATCTATTTTTACGCGAGACATTATACACATAAAACCAATCAAATTGAACAAAAATCATACGAATAATGCCTTATTTCGTATATTGGCAATTTGTCTAGTGTCTATTATAAACACTATACAAACATCTTCATGTGGTGAACTTCTTATTGTCTTCTTATTCTTGAGACTTTTCTCGGCTCAAAGACACCGAAGTCCGCCAGTGCCATACGCCCCCGCAGCTCTTCCGACGAAACTGGACCTACCCCAACAACCCAATATCCCGCACGTAAGTTTCGTCGAAAAAACTCGGAGCCGCGCAGGGGAGAGAAAATGGCGTAATCGGAACGCGGTGAAACCCGGCGAGGGCGAAATGCACCCCGCTATCGAGGGTTGAGGCAGGCCGATATTAAGGGGATTAGGCCAATGCGAAACATGATGTCAACAGCCGCGCGTCTAGGGAAGCTCCAAAGCTGTTACCCCCCGCCCGCCCCCGCCCCCCGCCACGCGAGGGGGTTGCCGTGAAAGTCGAGGGGTAAAACAAACAGAAGCCGCGCGGAGGGTGGGACGCGTGGCCGTCGCTTCACACTCGAGCGCCGACGAGAAAAGGGGGGCGCTCGTATCTGCATAAAGCGCGTATCTCCTCGGGATTCCCGTTGGCAGTTGCGCGGTTTCGACGTCTAGACACGCGCGGACAATTAGTCATTTTTTTTCTTCCGGGGCGCGTTGCCACCACCGCACCGTCGGCGGGATGGCACGGGTGCAGTCACCATTTACGCACTCAACCAACCATGAGTTCACCGTGGTTATCTCCCCCCTTCGATGTGGTTTCACCTCTCCCTCGGTTTTCAGTACCTTCTGCTAGGTGCCGTCGTGACCCCTTTTTTATATTCTGAGTAACATCTTTTGCCGATCGAGAAATTCATTCCGTAAATGCAGCGACCAAACTGCAGGGGCGCCAATGGAGATGTTGCATGTGTAAGGAATTTGCGGTTTGACTGTTGATTCTCATGTAAAAGTTTGCGAGAAACACGATGGTGCCACTGGTTTTCTCTGAAATCAACTTCCAAGCTCAAAAAAAGCTTACAAGTTGAGGCCAAAATGGAGGGGATATCCCACCCTACCCTGAGAGTTCACGTCTACATCAAGACAAACTCTCCATGCAAAGAAAGGGAGCAAATACATTATATAGCAGGGTTGCCGTGTTTTCAGTTTTGAAGTCCCCAAATAAAGTGGCAGCCCTGTCAATGTATTTGCTCCCTATCTTTGCATGGAGAGTTTGTCTTGATGTAGAGGTGGACTCTCAGGGTAGGGTGGGATATCCCCTCTATTTTGGCCTCAAATTGAGAGCTTTTTTTGAGCTTGGGAGTTGATTTCAGAGAAAACCAGTGGCACCATCGTGTTTCTCGCGAACTTTTACATAAGATTCAACAGTCAAATCGCAAATTCCTCACACATGCAACATCTCCATTTACAAATGCATTGCCGGATTAGCCTGGCTGCCGGGGTGTAGGCCCCCCAGGCGATTTTCGTTTTACTGTAGATCCTCCAGGGCGGTCTTCAGAGTTTAAAAGACAGATTTAAAGTGGCCTTGAGACTAGAATTTGGAAGGTCGCACGGTGGATCAAGTCAATCAGGAAGCTCGGATATGAAATTTTGAACTGGAACTGCAAATTTTCATGTTAATGTCGTCATATTTTAACTTTTAAGGGGTGCTTCTTGGAGAAAAGTTTACGAGGAAGCCATTGGAACCACTTTTAAAACCTCAAAATTTTGTATAACCGGAGTTATAAGCTTTCAAAGTTTTCAAATTTTTCCCGACCTCTCCTATTGACTTGATCCACTGTGTGTCAAAAGGACCTAAAATATTAGGATTTAGGGCAGCTAAAAACCAGCCGACCCTGCAACAATTCCTTGGGAGGGGACGGGGTCGCAAGATTATCTGCTATGTTCACACAATATTGGACTGCGTTCAGTAACAAGAAACTACTAAGTCTAGCTCGTTCATAAAAAAACCTCCCTGCGCAAGGAAACTAATGACATACGTTGTTCCTAAAATGAGCCAGAAATACTAGCTCAAGTTCCTAATTGCAAAATTTAGCCCGATTATAGCTTTATTTCAGGTTTCACAAATCAGATTTTCGGAATAAACACCTGAATTGTCCGTCTAGGACGTTATTGGTCACTTTGTCTGCCAAAACTTTAATGTGAAACCAGTATTCTAGCGAAACTCTTTCGATATCCTGATGTTTGCTCTTTGACGCCATGGATTTACCTTAAAAGTAGGGGATGCCGCAGTGTGAAATATGGTACCCATAATTTAAATTGGACCTCTTTATTCCACGAAAGACAAAATGGGGAGAAGGTTTGCGAAAATTACTCGATCGTGAATTAAATAAAACCGCTCGAGCCTTGTAAGTTGTAATCTTTACGACAGTTAATTACACCAGTATCCAAGGATTTTTAACTCCCTCCCCTCCCTGGAAACAGACTCAAAACCAATTTCAAAGGCCGTGATGAGATTTCAAAGGAGGCCCCGTTGAGTGAAAATAATTGACGGAGATAAAGGTTACAGAGAAAGTAGAAAGTCAGCTCAAAAAATTAATAAGGCTACAGACCGGGCGTATTTGTACGAATTTTTTCTTCGCTCGTAAAAGCTTTTCTTGGTCTATTTTTTCCAGCCTTATTGCCTTTTATATTCAACGCAGTAACTCGAATCTGAACAAAAAACTGCAGATATCATGGCGGGCTGTTTTGAAGGGGAGGAAGTATATACCACTTAATGAGCGCTTTTTTTTGTTGCGCTTGAATGCTTTTCTCGAGTTTTTTTGTAAAGATGGTGGGAATTTGATTTGATATCGTCGTTTCCCTGACGTAAGGGCGTACCTCAATTTTCACATGAGCCTCAGAAAGCATAGAGTCTTACGGGGGACAGGGCTTACGTTGAAATTGAGTCACGCCCTTGCGTCTCAGAAGTGACGATATGCTGACCCTCTCTCAGACGAACACCAACTGCTGATTCCTCCACGACTGTGATTAATACTTTCGTTCTAACCTCTCGTCGAAAGATCGAAACCGCACGCCAATAAATTAATTGCATTCGGTCGGAGCACGCCGCCCCTCAACTTCCACGGCACTTTCGATTAGGTCATAGTTTATTCTGATAATCAAGGTCAGACTATATCAAGGTCACCACTGTAAATTGTAAAGAAAATTAAATTACGATCTTCCGCGAAATGAGGTCTCTTGGTCCACAAAAACTCAAAGTTGAATTATTGATACTAAAGCATGGAGTCAAAGTCTACGGAAATTTGAGGCAATGAATGGATCATTGATAAGATTTTTAGGCAGGAAAAAAACACTAAAAATGTGGCCCGAACTGCAGGTGACAGGATGATAAAAAGTGCTGGATCCACAGCATACTGCGGGGAAATCAAGGCCGGAAAATTCCAAAAAATTTTGACTCAATGAAAATATCTAAAATTCGTCAGCCTTGGTTTCCCTGCAGAATAGTGGGAACGCGGGCATTATTTTACCATGTTAAATTTATAATTTAAAAATTAATTTTACACTCTTTAAACGTTTTAATTTGTCATCTGCATTAAATTTAATGAAGGAATATGTCTGAAAGTACCTCGATTCTCACGCTAGCTAGCAATACCATAGTGCATACAATATCATAATACCATAAAACCACCGGATATAATTTCTGATCATTTGTAAACAAGACTTTTAGGAGACCGTGGGTTACGTTATCTCGTCGGGTTTACGGGGCTCTAATTCAATTGGGGCTGTTTAATCAGCCTTTTGTTCATCTGCTTTGTTAACTTTTTATTCCAGGGAATCTTAAATTAATTTTAGATTTTCATAAAAAAAGAAAAAAAAGAAGAAGAAAAAAGGTTTTTGAGGAATTCACCCTTTAGCGCTCCAAGACCCCTCCCTCTTTGGACGGTCACATGGATGAACATTTTATCCACAATGATGGCGCACTCTTGTAAGCCTTCTATTTTAATGAGTGTGCGTATCAAGCCCGATAAACACGGATTAAAAGCCACCTGCAGGGTGACTAACCTGGGGGAATGCTCTCTTTATACAAGTACAAGCACAACCCTTGACCGGAGGTAGGGGTGGGTTATAAGACAGTAATTAAGTTAGGTAACTAATCAGTAATAACGCGTGAGTAAAAAAAAGCTATGGGGTTACAACNGGGGGGGGGGGGGAGCTCGGCATATCTGGGCGGCTGGACTGTGACACGAAATGCAGCCAATAGAATAATTAAGAAAAAGGGAGGGGCGGTGAGGCGAACGCTGTAAGGTTTCCCGAGGGTTCGGGGGTATCATACTGTATTTCAACCGGAGGGTATTAAATCTTGAAATACGTGTCGTGTGAATGTATGTCTTCAACACGACCGTTCAAAGTGAGCACGCTGTAATTTCGTTCCAGATTTGTATGTTTGTTTCGGACAAAATGTTCTGAGTATCATCAGAGAGTCGTGACAAATACATTCTTTATTTTCAGCAAAAACATATTACAATAGACTCTGGATTATCCGGATTAATTGGTGCCGGGCCCGATCCGGATGAAAAAGAAATCCGGATAATAATAGTAAACACAAACACCACCAACCAACACCACAGTATTCTTATTATGTATACATCATGTACATACCAACACGAATTTAAAATGTAAACGCTAAACTGAACGACTCAATGGTGATTGTGAATGGTAGCCGACAACGATAAATTACAATACAATGATTAAAGCGCGCAATGCGTGAAGTATTCATGCAGTCTTGTAGCCGCTAATGTGCGTTTTAGGCTAACTAACCGACTGCACTGCGTTTGGCGTAATGCGAGAAGTATTCATGCAATCTTGTAGGCGCTAATGCGTTCCACACCGACATCACTGTTTTGCGCAATGCGTGAAGTATTCCTTCAGCCTTGCAGGCGCCAATATGCCTTGCGACCGTTTCTCCGCGGATCCGCTCACTTATCGGAATGCGTCCGTAGTTACATGGTTGCAAAATCGATCCGGATAATCCAGAGTCCGGATAATACGAAGCCGGACAATCCAGAGTCTACTGTAGTTTTAGTTTTCCGGCCGTTTTAGAGCCCGCGCCAGCAAAGTTTACGCACTTTTAGACCGCGACAGATGATCCGCCATCTTGCTTCTTGCATTTAATTTTTATGCGAAAACGACGCTAGACACTCTTTTGTCGCAATCTAAAAGTGCGTAAACTTATTTGGCGGAGACTTCAACTCAGTACCTTTCTCTGTTCCGGTATCAAATGGCGTATAGAGAAAAAAAACTTCGTGCGTGGGACCCGAAGTTGAGGTCATATGAATCCCTGAAGTTTTCGGATCACATATCTAAAAACTTGAGGCCCGGCTGCCGAAGTTCAGGCCAGACATTTGAAGTACTTCGATATACATTTACCGAAGGGTTCGGGTCAAACATCTGAAGTACTCCGGTTCTCCGGTACATACCGAAGTACCTTGATGTCTGACCCGAACTTCGACAGCTCGACCTCAAGCTTTTGGATGCGTGATCGGAAAACTTCAGAGATCCGTATGATCTCAACCTCGGGTCCCGTGCACGAAGTTTTTTTCTCCGTGTACAAGTCAATTTTCAACTTTTTCTCTTCTTTGATTATATTTGATCGAGAATCCATGCCAAATATCGTCACCTTCTGACCAAAGTATCACAAGCGCCTTGCGACGTTTCAAAATTTTCACCGTCATTTTATTTTTACGAAGAAATTGTCCAACGAAACGGTCCAAAAATTTCACTGAATTTTCTTGGTGCCAGCGATGAAATTCAGTGAAATTTTCCAACAGATTCAACCAAAAATGTCTCTGTTAAAAAAAATAAAACGGCGGTAAAAATTTTGAAACGTTCAATGGCGCTTGTAATACTCTCGCCGGAAGGTGACGATTTATTGTTGTAACCTCCTTACAGAGGCGGATCCAGCAATTCGGCAACGCCGAACTTCCTCCATTTAAAGCTATGCTAATTAATCGATTCTCGTCGGAGCACCTGGCGGACCTGGCTCCTCCAAGAATCGATACATTTCCATAGGTTTAAATGAAGAAAAGACAGTGTTACCAATTTGCTGGAACCGCCAATGCCCCCTTAAATCAAAGCTCAAGTCTTATCTCATCCGTTTGATTTCATCTTGTTACAGGAGAAAAACCGCACAAATGCGTCGTTTGCGGGAAAGCTTTCAGTCAATCCTCGAACCTCATCACTCATCTCCGGAAACACACCGGCTACAAACCGTTCAGTTGCGGACTTTGCGACAAGGCCTTCCAGCGGAAGGTTGACCTCCGGAGGCACCGGGAAAGTCAGCACCCGGGGTCGCCGGCCCAACAGTGCCTCATCACCAGCACCACGACGGCGGGTGCCGAACGGGCCCTCATGGAAACCACCCGACTGCCTACTCAAATCAAGCTGGAGCTGGATTCCAAACAAATTAAACCCTTAAAAACTGAATTCCCCCAGGGAATCTCCAGCTGAATCGCTACCTGTTCATAATTTCCTGCGGGAAAAGGGTAAACCCAAGTAGCATTTTTTTTAATGGAAAAACAGCGCGTTATTTACCAACCGCTGGTTGTGGTCACATCTTTTTTCCGTGGATGCTTCCTATTTTTTGAAATTTTCTTCGATTTTCCTGTACTGTTTCACGACTGTTAAAAATTCGAAGCCGTGAAATTTCATAAATTATTTTTCAAAATGTGGGCAATGAACGGAGATTTTTGAAACGCTTAAATTGAGTTACACGTTTCCGGAGTATAGCCATCGCTGTTTCTTCCGATGTAACTATGGTAGCGTGCCTTCTTCACCCTCACGAAAAAAGAGCGAAAAGGAGGAGAGACAAAGGAACATTAGAAGAGGGAAAGTTAGCCTCTTTAAAAAAAAAGTAGAGCAAGACTACGAAAGTTATGAAAATAGATCACGAAAATGAAAATATTCAGATTGTTTTGTAAATAATATTGTTCATTTTATTTCACTTGTTTTGATAATATTTTCTTACTCTCACTTTCCGAAGCAAATGGTCTCGAAAAAACATTCCATGAAAGCGGTAGATATCAGCCGTGAAATTTCACCACCCAACAAGTTTACAAAATGAGCTGAATCTACTTAAATTATTACCTTAGGAGATTTCTCTATCGGTTAAGTCCCTTAGGCCCTTGGACTCAGGATGAATGATGATCAACTTGGTTTGACTCAAGCTCGCCGAGGTTTTTAGCTACTCTTTGGACCCGCTGATGGACTATGGGCCATAATTTCCGTGCTTTTTTCTGGTAGATTGTGTCCCTTATATGACTCTATCAGGACTCCCTCTTTTTTGGTCAATTTGTATGTGAATTACTCGTTTAACTTGTTAGATTTTTTTTAAAAAATTGTCTTTACCGCCTTGTATTAGTGACGACTGACATGTCGTTATCAGCCCTAGTTAAAGAGCTTGACAATTACACAGCCCTTTACTGTGCATAAGACTTTTCGAAAATTACTCGTTAAGCAAAGAGCTAAGTCAAACATGTACCAATCAGAAAAACTACGATCACGAAGGATTTTTTTATGATACGTTTTGAATATCCTAGTCATTAATATCTAGATTGTTTTCCTATTATTTTGAATAGTTCTAGTTCATAGTTTTACATTAAACTTAAAAAAAAGTGGCGCACTTTACTGAATTACTGTATATTCAATATTTATTTTTTGAGGACGTTAAGAAAGGACTGTGTCCTATTTCACGTTTTTTACTTTGTAAATAAACTTAAAGCAAGTGGAAATGACGTATAGATGCCTTGTTGAGATCCTAATTCTTGTACTTGTGAGTTTCTCAGGACAGAAAATAAAAATTTGAGTGAAAAACGGGGGATTATTTGAGGAGAAAGGTTGAGGTGCCGCTCAGACTAAGAGGCATTTTTTTGTATTTTTTTATTTTTATGTTTTTTTGCTTCAAACATTTTTGAGGCAAAAAACGTCGAGGGAAGAAATATCACGCGTAAAATACTCGTATTTCCTAGAAGAAACTAGGTGGAAATAAAACGAGCGAAGTTCTCTCCCTAAGCCGCTCTTCCTCTTTACTAAGTCCTAAACCAAATGTCCTTACTTTAAATTTACCGAGACTTGTAGTACCTAATGCTGATTAAAATTAATATATTTAAATTCTTCTCTGTATTAGTAAGTTGCCAAATGGTTACCATTTTACCTGGAAAACTAACTCTCAACCCAAATGCAAACTTTTGAATACGATATTAACTAAGTATTAATTATGTCCTTTTTATGTTCTTGATTATTTTTGACATTATCGATTACTTTTACTAAGCAGCCGATTAGAAGGGACGCTGATGACAAAAAATTTGCACTTTTTTTTTCTTTGATTAAATTTTTCTATCCACACGTAACTGTATCCTCATAACGATAGGTTTTTTTTTTTTGTTTTTTAAATAAATAGAAATTACTTTTTATGTGTATCAGATCACCAAAAGTTTCACTTAAATTTTCTTTGCTAGATTATCTAAGATTTGTTGACAGAGATTTTGGATCCTGTTTCTAAAATTATTTGAAGTTACTCATAGAAATAGTAAGGTATTATCAAGGTATCGAAAAAGTATTAATTCTGTAAAATAATAACAAAGACTCATGAAAATTTTGTTTACGTTCAAAGACGTCAAATTTTGTGGTGTCCATTTGTTACAATATGCATTTGTAATTTATTTCCCGCACTTAAAGTTAGATTTTTATGGTTTTAAACATGTATCATACATATATCAGTACATACAGCACGATTAAAGATGATCGATCATGAACATATACCTCTTAAAAATTTGAAGAGCTAGAAACTCTGTGGTCACTATTCATTGCAGCTAAATACCAAAGAATACTTTCGCTATACCCTCTTGTTTTTTGATAATAAAAAATAGCGTATTTGTTGTTTTATAAAGTGTTTAAAACGCGTTGTACAGAAATCGATTTTGTCTATAGTACTTTTTGCGAAACATTCTCTAAATTCTATGTTCTATCTTTTATTTAGAATCTGAAAAATGTCCCTCTTCCCTAAAATTCATACATATTTGCCAGTTTATTGAGTCGTTTTTCATTTTATTTTGAAAATTGTCTTAAAAAGTATAAGGTAAAAAAACGAATAGTATTTAAATTATGAGAATCTTATACGTAGGTAAAAGCTGCGCTGTATTCTTCACTTTTTACAAAAATGTCAAACCTTTCTTTTTAGCAGCTCTTATTTCTTGTTTTATGATGTGTTTCTAGTTGTATCATACACCTCAGTTTGCCTCTTAAATTTTGCCTTTATAAGTTTATTATGTCCATTGTGCCCTAAGATTTTTGACTTTAATTTTTACCAATTTGTAATTGTTCAATAAATCATTTTTTTAAAATCAGAAGAACGGTAAAAATTTTTAAACATACATTTATACTTTTTCTTTTCCTTTCTTCCTTCTCAAGAATACATTATTCGTCACAAAATCGATGTAGAATAAAAGCTATCATCGACAATTTATCTGGGGAATTTCGAAACGGCTTATACGAATTTGGCGCTTGTTTTTTTTTTTTTTAAAATTCCAATCCGTACTAGTTATTCAAAGAAAACACAAAGTATGATATGAAGTTTGCAACGTTGCAGACAAAAGAGGTTTCGTACTTTTGCCATGAATATGCGTTTCCTCCTATTTTTGTAGTATGTTAAAAAGGGGAAACTTTCCTTTAAAAAAAAGTCAAATTCATGTTTTGCGTTCCAAAAAACCTCTTAAGAAGAGAATTAAATCCGTTCATAAATTGCCAAGATAATTTTTCGACAATTTTGAACTAACCTTATCCAGCCGCCATTCCCTAGTAAAAGTGAATCAGAATGACTTCAGGCTATGTTGCATAAACAACCCTGAGTCAGACTAGATCAGTCAGACTCGGGGTAGTTCATGAAATATCCTCACTATTACTAGGGTTTTGTAATGGTTTGAGATGATGATTTCAAATTTGTATTCCTTTCCCAAGGTATGAGGGTTGCTACTAGAAAAAAGAGTAGTTCCAGTTGTAGCTCTTATGGCTAAAAATTAGCTTTTTTTAACCAAGGCACACCCACAAAGTTTTAATCGGAAACTTTAGTTCGCAAAAAAATTGTCCGAGTGGAACTTAGTGATCACACTGTATGTGCCAATCCTACTTATTTTTAGGTGCTTCGCTCTACCATTGGTTGTAAAAGAAATCAATCGTTAATGCGCCAAAAAAAGTCAGGTTTATTACGAGAAATACGTAAGAAAATATTTGTCATCAAGGAATACTTACTTTAATCGCCAAATAATTTATTTTTGATAGCAAAGGCGGGCTTTTTATAATAAAATTATTTTGGGTGTGATGACGTTGTTTGATTTTATTAAAGGGTTATCTTGGCGACAATGGTAATTTTCCTTCACCGAGTATAAACCCAACGTAAGGTTCCTAGACACGGTCAAAATATTAAATACGTAGAAACGAAGTTTCGGCTCTGATGACTGTCGTTCGGTTTATAAGTCCAAACTTTCATTTGAATGGCTGGGGTAGAAAAAAAATTGTAATCTCCACGTCGATTTTTCAAATCTCGCATAGGGTTTTAACTTTTTAAAAGAAAATTATCCTAATTACCCCCTTCAAATTCGCTGCCAATATTTTAAATCAATAAAGAACTTTCTCAGAAAAATTTTAAGAAAATTGTTGTATAGATTTTTTCCCAAAAAGAATTATAGATTGGCGGAGATTAGCGCCGTTGCGATAAGAGATACACAGTTTTCGACTTTGGCCGGCAATTTTCATTCAGATGCCAAAAAACAGGCTCCACCATGAGCACCGACCGGATGGTCGGTTACCCGATCCAAAAGTACGAATAGACAATTCGTAGAGTTCGGCCGCTAGTGAACACCGGACTTCCAAAATAGGCTTTGAATTTGTTCTCGCACAGTCTTGGTGTTCGGAAAGACATACGTTTCCTTGAACATTCTGATACCACCTATTACAACAAAAAACGGACCAAGAAAAAAAATTGAACACCAAAAGGTTGACCCAACCTCTTCCCAGTGTTGTCGTAGCGGTTCACTTCCCTAAGGATGGACGGATATCACAAAATTAACTGTGAAATGACATGATTGTTATCATCAGAGAGAGTCTCCTCCCACGGTAAATCATGGTCATCTCGACTCAGGTGCCTCCGAAATGGGAGTAGAAAATAATTCCACCAGTGGCAAGGCGACAATGATAGATTTTCGATATTTCGTAATTTGAGGCTATGGTAAAGAATCGATTGTTAAGGCAATACCCTGTTAATCGATCCTTTTCCATAGGTTTGAATGCCACTTAAGGTCGACGAAGGCCGAGAAGAAAAAATCTAAGGCAGTAGAGGCAAAGCAGCTTGATTAAACCCGACCGGTGGCGGAGCATGATGATGGGTCTACCGCACCCAGCAAAAACAGCTTATAGACACAAGAATTACATAGGGGATACGCTGTTTTTACACGGACAGGAGTCCGTCTCGAAGGGCCATAAATAAAAAGAGGATATCTAAAATGCAAGGTGAATCTCAGCTCCTCAACTCGCGGCGGCCAGCGCCGAACCTGCGGCAGCAGGTGCGACACACAGGCTTGGAGTGGTCGTCGCGCCGCATGCCTTAAGGCAAATGCGGGCACGCGCCTCCTCCCCGCCCCCCGCCCGTGCCCGCAGCCCCCTTTGCCTTTTAATGTGCCCGGCCGGCCCGGCCCGGCCCGTATGACGTCCTCGGATTATGTTCGCTCCGACGCAGAGCTCTGAGGAATAATTAAATTTATTCACCGCGAGGAGGGAAATATGTGCACCGGACCCGATTTTGTGAGGTTAAACTTTCGGCCTGCGGGCTGATTATTGAACTTGATAGACAAAGCAGTAGACAAAGAAGACAAAAAGGATATGGAGGGATCCTATTGGTGGAAGCCGGTGGTTGCAATGGACAAAGGATGTAGGTCCTCTTTTCTCCGATTTCTGAAGCGTCCTCATCTGACGTATATAAGACCCAAGTCTGTCAAACAAGGATCAACACCATCCAGAGGGCCGATTATTAAAATATATTGATAGACAAAGCTATAGAAAAAGAGGACAAAAGAGATATGGTGGGATTCAATTGGTGGAAGCGGGTGGTTGCAATGGACAAAGGAGGTAGGTATAATAGACTAAGGAACGGTAACCCACGAGAGACCCGATAGTTAGTCCATCATTTACCCCCTTAGTCTATGAAGAACTACCCATTTCAACCAATAGGATCGCCCTATACTTCTTATGTCTTCTTTGTCTATAGCTTTGTCTATAAATTTCAATAATCGGCCCGCAGATGAAGTCTCCTCTGCGAGCCGGTTATTGAAATTGATAGACAAGGCGATAAAAAAGTGGACGTATGGAGTATGGAGCAATCCTATTGGTTGAAATGTGTGGTTCCTATAGACTAAGGGGGAAAATGATGGACTAACCGTCGGGTCCCTCGTGGGGTGCCGTTCCTCAGTCTATTACCTACCCCCTGTGTCCATTGCAACCACCCGCTTCCACCAATCGGATCCCGCCATATCTCTTTTGTCTATAGCTTTGTCTATCAATTTCAATAATCGGCCCGCTGGATGGTGTTGACCCTTGTCTGACAGACTTGAGTCTTATATACGTCAGATAAGGTCAGAACTCGGAGAAAAGAGGAACAGACGATGAGGAGGGAGAGGAACGACCAGGAAGGAAGAGGAAGCTGCAGAAAAGGGAGGAGAACGATTGGAAGAGGAACATGAGAAGGGGAAAAAGAAATACGGGAGACTCTTTTTTTCTTTTCCTTTTCCTCTGCCTTTTCCTTTTTCCTCTCTTTCGTCTCAGTCCTCGGCTTACGAAGTACTGAAAAACATTTAGTACATTTTACCACGCTCGTAGTGATACGAGTAAGGTAATTAACAGACTCAATGGTAGCATCTACCATGTTACGGTAAGTATCACCAGAGTTCTGGTGAATACT